TTTTTTTTTTTTTTTTTTTTTTTTTTTTTTTTTTTTTTTTTTAATGCATAGGGGCAGCAAACTATGCAGATACGAAACACTGATGGACCAGAGTGGCAGACTTGGTAAATGGCTATGACAAGGTAACTGGGAATCTGTCAATTATTTACTCTCCCCTCTGTTTCTAGGGGGCCTTATGCAACATCAAAGCCTTTTACATGCACCATAAGTGATGTTTAAATGCTTGATAAGGTCTTGCTCAGGGCTTTTCTCTGTGGAGGCTTTTGACTTGATTGAATATTTCACATTGTTAGTGCATACTGTTAATATTATACATTCCTAATCTTGCTATGACTAACACCAGTCCTTACCAATAGTCACATTTGCATGCAAATAAACTGAGAACCACCAGAATGTTTCAAGAATCAGACAATGAATAAACAGTAATAGATGCAGTAAGACAGTGCAACCTTGCAAGTTATTAGGCTGAGGAAAATAATGTTCATTCAGCTCTAGCATTCACAGAACCAAATAAAAATCAATATTTTAGAAATCTTCAAATATATACTACATAAATCTAAATGAAGCTTTTACCATTGTATTTACTGCACCCACCAACTAATATCTGAGTCACAGACAGTCAAGAACTGATGTCAGGCCCATCCTGCATTGATGACACCAGCCATGCATCACACTGCTAACGAGCTGCTCCCTTCAAAAACCCAACTGAAACGCCACTGACTGCAAACATGATGCCTTTTTTTTAACCAGCAAGATTTTGGGTTCCAAAGTAAGATATTAACAAAAGTGAAGGTGGTATTTTTGGTTGATATGTGGGTTTAAACACAGTCATGGAAGTACAAAGCACACCAGAAGTTGGCTCAAATATTTTTACCTCCATGTAATTCAGCACAAGCCCCACATCTTACACAAAGTAATAACCTGTCTCTTTATACCCCTGCTACAGCCTAATACACAGTATTTAAAAATAAAAGCATATCACAAAACCTGGGACAGCCTTTATTACTCTCTGCCTGCAGAATAGTTAAATTTCAGTATGTCCTTAAACCAAACAACTTCTCTTTCAGTAATAAACATGTCAGTGTCCAGTCAGCCCAAGTTTCTTCTGCCCTGGTTTGCACTCCCATGAGCTGTCACACACTACAAGGCAAGATTCTCATTTCAAATTTTAATTTCACATTTTTCTTACCGATTGAAAATATTTATCAAGCATACATCCAAACACAGAGTGGTGACTATACAAGCAGTCAGTGCAAGTATTCTAATGGTTCTAGAAATCTTCATTTCCAAGTAAATTGCATTAAACTAATCCTACAGTGTGAAACAACTCTCTACAATCTCAGTGACACATTGAATCGCAATAAAATAATTCCCTCACCCAGATCATTGATAAAAATATTAAACAGAACTGGTTTAGCTCAATACCACAAAAGTAGGAAAAGAAACCCAGGAAAAGATAACAAAAGAACAGTTTGTGTTAATTCCCAATCTCTCGTTATATCTGAGAGTCAGGAGGGAAGCCCACAAATCTTCCTCATCCTGCCCCTTCATGCAAAGATTTTGTTGAGGATGTTCCAGAAATAGTAATAGGACAGTGGGAGATGTTTAAAAGAAACTATTTTCCAGTACTATAATGCTGTTAATTTAATCCTACATAAAAACAAAAGCAAAGATTTTTATATGACTTCCTGACAAGCATCCAGCAGGAAATACTCATTTGCTACTATTTCTTTAATTGTTTCGCTTTTTAAGAGTATTTCTCAGACCACAAAAACAATGTAAGTTAGCTTCTAGCCCATATTGATGTCATGCTTCCTGTCATGAGTTTATTTGGTTGTTTTCTACATGGTAAATAAATAATGTAAAAAACACCAAGTGACCAACAGCAAGTAAAAATCAGCAAGCTCTCAATAAAAGGCTCTCCTTAACCTGGCTGAAACAGCCTCAAAGCTTTCTCAACACCCTGTTCCCTTCATGAAAACACCAAATCAGGTGCTAAAAATTGCATGGTCAGTGGCAATTGTCACAAAAACATTATCATAAAGTGTAAGCATTTGTCCACACCTGTCACTGAACAGTGTCGTTGGTTTTACCTCCAGCAGAGAGAAAGGGGTTTTTTATATCCAAAGTGGGAACTGTTGGCTTTTTAACGTCTCCCAGGGCAGGAACCTCAGGAGCTTGCACAGCACTCGAGGGTATTGGTCCCAGCGTTGCACAGAACAGCAACAGCGTGGGGAAATTAAGACATTTGCCACATGGGAAGGATTCCATGGGTACAACTGGTGCACTGCTGAAGTAAACAGTTTTTCCACAGCCCATCAGTTATAACAAGTGATTATTTGACTTAATTTTCAAACTACATTTCCCAATACTGCTGCCTCCTAACCTCTCAGAAAATTAGAAGTAAAGCTTACCAAACTTTTTCTTGTTCCATTCCTCCTCTGGTACATTGGTTTATTACAGCAGGGCTACTCATGGTAAATGCTGAGCTTTCAGAATTCATTTTTCTTCTACAAAAGAACGACATCAAAAAAACAAGAAAAATGCTCCATAAGTGAAGATTGTGGTTAGTAATTAACTAGAAACCCAAAACTTTAAGAAAATAACTTTGAAGACCAAATACAGTATGTTTTACTCACTTAAGTAAATGCCCTACATCAATGGGATTAATTGGATGAATACACTGAGAAGGATTTTGGCAGTTTTATGGACTTGCTAGTTATGCCAAACTCAACACTGATTGTCTTTTGTTTACTCTTCTGAATAGGTGCCAAGAAAGTTGATGTCAGCAAGCCTGAATCCAGGGCTGTGCATCGTGTCAGTTCTGTTAATTCAGACCAGCAGTCACAGCCAGTGTTGCCATGGAATGATCCACTCAACATGGGGGAGAAAATTTCACTTTCTGATACGTAAAGATTTACAGAAGCTTTTCAGCATATTTTAATAACTTAAGATCATACTTTGCTGATTTGCAGAAAACAGCAATTCATTCATGGTTGAAGTCACTCTCAAAACAGCACAGAGATATTCCAGTGCTGGCCACGGCAATTCCCAGGTTACAACACTTGCAAAAGGTCTATGTGGTCAAAGAGGTTTCCAGTAAACAACTTGCATGGCAAGAACAAATGAAGACTCTACATACAGCAAATTAATTCCACCATGAAACACTATTATTTTTTGGTAACAGGATCCACAATGTTAACATGAAACATCTTAGCCCTACAGCTTTATTTTCCCCCTTTCATTTAAAAGGAGGGAGGGATATTTAGAGTCATCAAAGTCATGTTCTTTGACTTGATTTGACACCTGGTGCTTGTCAAGATAATCATCTCTTGCTTTTTTTCAAGAAGGAACAAAGAACCATTAAAAAGCTGGTTTAACCTGTGTGAAACCCAGGTCAAAAATCACACTTGATAGATTTCAGGGACAGCACAAAAGGCTGAGCACAAGGCACTCCTGCCTGCCACTGATGGGACACAAGGCCAATCTCCACAAAGGAAGTGCTCTGAAGACAATGCTCATCTTGGTTTCAAAATTCTGTCCATGCAAGAGTAGATAAACATCCCTGGCAAGCACGTCTGTTGGAAAGAAGTCCCAAAATCTGCAACCAAAATTTGGTCCTTACTGGAATTAACATCTTGTTTGTGTGACCAGAGCATGCGGCACTGCCACTTCAGAACAAACAAGGGACTTACAAGGACAGGTTCTTAATCTTGCATTTATTTAACATCTCTCATAATAGAAAAGTTTATTTCTGAGCAAATTTGTTTCTTGAAATCCTGTTTCAAAGATCCAAAAAACCTATTCTGAATGGGAGAACAACAAAAGCCCCACCTCTGCGAGGGCAGGAACAGACTCAGCCATCTGTCTTCTTTTTGGATCTGTACCTGACCTCAAATTTATTCCTGACTCTCAATTTGGATCATTTTGAAAAAAACGGCCAGTAACAGGAAACAACAACAAAAACTAAAACCAAACAAACACAAAACAAAACCCCAAACCAAATCAACAACAAAAACAATCACCACCTTCCCCTCCACCCTGCCAAACAAATCCACACAAAACACCAGTAATTCTAGAAGCAGCAGCAGGTGTTGAAAACTAAATTCTTACTTGCCTCTCTGGTCTATAATAGTGCAGGAAGAGGGGAGTTGTTCTTAAATACATTTTGAAGCACCACTGCAAGAACCCATACTTAAACATCTTCTGCAAAGTTCCCCTTTTTCATGAAGCAATTTCCTAAGATGGGGAAAGCCCAGATGCTTCAATGATCACACAAGTTATGACAACAAGAGTTTTACCTCCTCTTGCAATCACTTGTACCAGTAGGATCAAAAGTTCAGTGGGCAGGTTAAAAGTAGCCCATTAATTCTCAAAGTTGGAAGTTGAAAGATTCAAATTACAAAACAAGGTTGCCATTAAAGAGAAGAAAAAAAGGTACAGCTTGCCCTGTTCCCTTGTGAGCCAGTACCACAGCAGTTTTGTATGACTTTAAAAAAAACCCCAAACCTGTTTTGGCACTTCCCTCTCCACCCTTGGAAACATCTAAACCAACACTCCATACATATCTCTGCATTGAGACCTCCACACTCCAGCTGGAGCAAAAGCAGAGGACAGAAGTGATAAAAGTTACTGTGTTATGAACTTTTCTATGAAGAATAAATAAAGGTTGACATGGATTTAATAGACAATAAATGAAATATGGCGTTAACCCAATTTACGTTCTCAGATGTTCTGCGAAACAAAATCATGTAATACAAAGAGGAACACATCAAACTTATCAACTCCCTCCCATTCCCAGCCTGATATCTGTCAGTAACAGACTCCTTTTCCTCAACAACCTCAGCACCAGCAGGCCTTCTGGATACCAGCACTCATGTTCCTTCAAGGCACACCGGCTCTTGCAGCCTCCACTGCTCCACTTCCAGTGACAGGAGAGATCTGCCCAGTCACCCCTGAACTAAAGGAACACACTCTGCAGGAGAGGTGGGACAGGCTGCGTGGGAGCTGGGACAGGCTGCGTGGGAGCTGGGACAGGCAGCTGACACAGCGCCGGGCAAGGATCCTTCCCCTGAGCTGCCACCAGCAGATGGGAGTGACAAACACCACAGCACCTCTCTTGTCCCCCACAGGGCAGCAGCCAAGGGCACACTCCCACCCCCTCAAGATGCACATGGTACAGAGCATCCCTCTAACTTCCCTCCCACACCCATAAAAGAACAATTCTCCAGCAATTACCACCATGGAATTCCTCTCTGCTGGAGTACAAACTCCTGGCACCTTGAGTGGCTTTTGTCCACACCAGCCAGATTCTTTCAAACCCTCCTCCTCCTTCCTGTCTGTGGAGATGCTCTCAACATCTCAACGCTCTGGGACCAAGTGTCCATTCAGGAGTGCCATCCAGCAGCAATCCTCATTCCCACCCAAAGGTTGGACAGCAATGAGTCAGAGAAGCTGCAGGGATACTCTTTTGTCATCCTCTTGTGTCAGCAGGTCTGCACAGGTCCCAGTTCCCTCTCTACCAGGAGTAGCAAGTAATTAAACAGCTGATCCCCACATAATGGACAAGTTTTATGGCCTTGTCAAAATACCACGAGTTTTTTAGTTTCTAAATGACAAATGGAAAAATCAGTATCTGTCAACACTCTCCAAAAGCCATGGATACAAAATATTACCACTATTTCCCTTACTTGAAAGCAATTTCAATGAAAAATTCTCAGCCTGTAGATTGTCTCCTGACTTATGAGGCAGAGATTGCTCTTAAGACCCCTTCTTAAGAATATATAATTATTTTTAAGCAAAAACTTTTCTATTTTAAGATGTACAAGGGGGATATATTTTTTCAAGCATCAAGAATATTTTTATGGGCATTTTCTAGTGAACACAAAGTTTTTCAGTAGGTCTAAAATAAAACTGAATTGTTCTGCTGTGGAAAGAAAACATTGTATTGGAAGGCTTATACTCTCTGAAAAATATTGCTTATATCCAAAGCAAACCACAAAAATTAAAGCTAAATTAAAGCAAAGGAAAATTTTGCATATATTTAAATATATATATATATCTACACACAAAAAAACAGACTACTATCCTCAGAAATCAGCCTCCAGTAATAAAATAACAACATGGAAATGAAGTACAATTCAAGAAGCAAAGGAACAACGTTCAGAAAAAAAAAAAATACACTATTCACAGGTGCCTCTTTCTGTATCACCATCCAACTCTTGTTTGGACTTGAACTTTAAGGCATAGGCAAGATACATGATGAAACCTGAAAGAGGAAAATAAATCTATCAGCTTCCCTCTTAACAACTTGAAGCCAGATGCCAAGACAAGTCAATGAATATTAATTTAAGAGCCTCTGCCTCAGATGTTGCCCAGGCTCTGCACACTGAGCCTTGCCTGTTCCAGAGCAGGGACACGCACTTGGATCAGGTGCTGTCCTGGAGATCGTGCCGTGCTCTAAGAGCAGGAAGTGGGCAAAAGGCAATTCCAGAACAAAAACATAGGAAAACAATGTCAAAGACTTATTTATAGCAGCTCTGATTAACACTGCTGCCACTATCTCACTGAGGAAACAGCCTTGGAGAAACATCCTCGCTGGTTTTGAGGAGACATCTCCAATTCAGCTTCATCTGCTCTGACCAAGCATAGCTTACCTAACACCAGAGTCCCCAGAAATAAGCAGGCACCCCCAAATTCTTGTATTAGCTCCACAAAGAAATACATTTTTAAGCTTCCATTATAAACAGTAACTTTGATTATCTGAAGCATTGTCAGTCCATCTGCTTCAGAGTAGATTCTTGCACCGCACAGTGGCAGAGACAAGCCTGGCAGTGGTAAACCATTAGCTCAACAACTGAAAAGTGTGTTATATTTTAGTGCATTTTATTTGTGGCTATTTAATTCTGGGAGTTCTGCAATTGCCCTTAAATGGGCAAAAATAAAGCAGGGGGGTAAAGAATCTGTCATAGCACAGCACTCTGAAAACCTGCACAGAACAGCACTGCAGGATCATTAGAACAGAAAAAATGAGAAGGTTCAAGAAAAGTACCGAATTCACAACACATCACGGGCTCACACTAGTGACTTAGATCTAACAGAATGGGATATTAGCCAGTCTTGTTAAAACTGATTCCCTACAGAAAGCCCATTTTCTCCTCCCTTTCCACCCCCCCTTCCACCTTGTGTTACAAAGTGTAGATACACTTTGATCCTCGGGCTATAAAATATTTTTTGCCTTTCCCTCCACTCCCTGTTTGTATCTCTAGACAAGTAAGATATTCATGGTAGGGGTTGTTAAAAAATAATGTATCATTCAACAGCTGTGCACTACAGTTAAAGCAAAAATAACTAATATCTCCTGATGAAACATGTTCCCACAGCTCCTCACCTTCACTGAAATGCTTTGCATTTTTGAAATAGTCTCTTGGTATACATAGTTGATAAGGGAACTGTGGAAAAAAGGGTTTTTGAACCATAAGACCCTTCAGTGCAGAAATCATTATTCCTT